CCCCTGACCCCTACATGCAGGAAACTCAGTTCAACGGAGCTGCCCAGGGTTACGTAGTACAGACACATCCCCCGGTGGGGACCCTCCCCATCGGAGGCTACATGCACCCGGGGTATCCGGTCCAGCTACAGCCTTGCACGGCATATGTGCCCGTCTACCCTGTCGGGGCGGTGAGTGTTTATGCTCAGATGGTTCTTGGGGTTGTGTCAGTTGGGGACTTTCGTATCATCCTGCAGATACGAGTTGGAGCAGACATAAAGAGAAACCATGATTTCTTGAGTTATGACTACAGCAACCCTACGCCCTTTATTATAAAGGACAAGCCTTTGTTTCAGAAAGCTGGCCTTTGGATTGATGGATTTTTCAAAAACTCACTTTTGTCCTTTATTTTGGTCATTTAACTTTTACTGTACGGATGGTATCACTGAATGCACGCACTTTCCCATTCATAGGAAAAACATGGAAATGGAATTGCCTTTTTAAAATACATTGACCTAGACAGGTTGATTTTAGATATTTTTATTAGAAGATGCGTTTCTGTAAAGTTTTTCTTGGTTTTGCTCTGGAATTTTCCTTTGTAATAAAATTAAGGTTTTTTTAGCCTTATGAACCTCTGTCAGATTTGCCCCTTTTTCAGGTTTGTTCTTTATTTTTTCCAAGAAAAGATGGTCACATAGTTATGACCAGGCCACACTGAGCCTTGAATCCTCATGCCTTTTTCTCTGTTTCACATCAGAGATGGAGCTTAGAAGCAGAATCCTACTTTTAAACTAACCAGTTTCTTGCGACAGAAAGTTTCTTTGTTGAAACCTCTTCCGAAATTAGGTAGTGTCTGTAACCAGGGGTTGATCTTGGTGTTTTCTCATAGGAAAAATGTGTAGCTGGATCAGGCAAAGACTCTGATAGTCCAGCTAGTGGCTGAAAGGCCTTCAGGAAGCCCACAGGCAGATCATCAAGGCAATATGATCCTCATGTTCATATTTCCTAGCAGTTTGATTAGTAAAGGGCAAACCTTTTCTAAAAGATAGCAGTCGTGTTTTAGAGGAATAGCCTTACCCTCTTGCTAACTGTAGCTTGAAGAAGCCATAGTCTGTCCTTTAGGCTAAGCCATTGTTTCTTTCAAGCGTGTTTCTTTTGCTAGAATTAACAGTGACTTTTGACGCATGAGAATGAACCATAAGCCACTGTTTACTTTAGAAACCCCGGCAGCTGGATGCAGACATCCTGCTGAATCAAACAGCTTGAGTGCAAGATGTGAGTCCATCCATTTTTGTTTCAAAGCACGGTTAAAAAAAAAAATTGCAGTGAAAAACAATGTGTGGATATAGCCAGAGTGTAGGCTGGGGCTTGTTTGGAACACCCAGTTCGGCTTTTCAACTCCTCCTCTTGGTGCAATTTAGGGGAAGAAGGGCATGTGAGAATTCATGTACTGTAAGAGCTAAACCATGTTAATCTTGTTTATGTGTCTAGGCCTTTGTATTGTTCCTGACACATATTAATTATGTGCTCCTTGTAGGTGGTGTTTTCTCTTTTTGTATGCAGAGCAAACAAGCTTTCTTAAAAGAACAGTTAATTTGTCTTCTTATCAGGTCCACAGTCAGAAATTGGGGGGGGGGAGCCAAGGGAGCTTCTCCAAACAGCCAGCTAATAAATGCAGGCAGCTTAATTGCACTGAAAGTTGATGAACGATTTTTTACTACTAATATTTAAAATGCCACTCATTCATTGCCTTTCATTGACCAGAATTTTAGAAGGCAAGGGAGTTTCTTAGCGTTAGTAGCAAAGATCCACTTGACTTCTTTTTCACGATCCTTCCTATTGCCGGAAGCTGCAGATGGAGAATTGCATTTCTGCTTGCTTGCTCCTCTCCCATTAACTACTCCCAGTTGATTTATTTACCGTACTGTTATACATTTATAACACAGTTCTGATCATTAGGACATTAAACCGGAACCTTTTTGGATGCCTCCAAGTTTACAACATTCCATTCTATTTCATTTCATTTCATTCATATGGTTACCCATCTTGTACAAGTGATTCTGGGTGGGAAACTGTCAGCCTTACCAGGTAGAACAGACAGGAAACACAACCAGATGAGCTAATTCTACTTTACATGAACAGAATCTTGCAAGTCTGAAAGTACAAATCTCCCGCCGTCTCCTTTATAGCCTGAGAAGTTAGGAGGGTCCTTTCTGAGCCTCTTTCTCTGCCCATTATGCAGCTGTGGGCTATGCCCTCTCTTATCTGACCATTCCCTAGGCAGTGTCCCTGGGTCCGGTCTCCCAAGGTCATTCCCACATACCATTACAGGAACAGAGATAAAAAACTTCAGTATAATCATGAAATAAGAATAAACAGCAAAAATAGAAACATAGTAGACAAGATCGTCAACACAAATCACAATAATACATAGATTCACCTGACTTCCCAACACCCATTTGTAGGAGAACAGCCAGGCCTTAAGGGCCTTCTGAAAGACCAGCCAGGTCAGGGCCAACCTAATCTGGTGGGGTGGTGTTCCAAAGGGCAGGGGCAGTGATAGAAAAGGCACACTTCCTGGGTCCCACCAGATGTCATTCCTTAATTGATGGGGCCTGGAGTATGTCCCTCCTTCCAGATCTGATGGGGCAGGTAGAGACAATTGGAGAAAGACAGTCCCTGAAATATCCCGGTCCCACGTCCTGAAGGGTTTTATAAGTGACAGACAGCACCTTGAATTGCATTTTTAATTGATAAAAATAGGATAGGGCACCAAGTTCCAGCATCACCTTTATTCCCAAAAATCCCTCTTGACCCAGATGGTAAGCTTTCTCAGCATCTAGTAACCATTGAGTGCTGTGTTGTGAAGAGAACACAGAAAGAAGAGAGAATCCTGCACTGGAGGAGGCCACAGGCAATTGTAGGTCAAATTCTGATCAATTAGTGCTTGGTTAATATGTGTCCCTCTTTTGTGAAAAGGCAGTCTGCTGTAACTGAGGGCTCACAACGTGTTTTCAACATTTCACATATGGCCACCAGCCTCCCAAAGCTGAGGATCCCTTGCTTAGTGGAGGTTTGAACCCAGGCTATTTGGTTTATTCAACAAACCATTGTTAAGCAAATAATAGCCTAGTGCAATGTGTGGAGCCTGTCATAGTGTCGGCTGCTATCTACATCGCTTTCCCCAACCTCCTGCTCTTCCAATGTTCTCCCAGAATCTCCAGCTGGTCAGAGAACTGCATTTCTAATATAGTTGGAGGTATATTCCAAGTTAGGAAATGCTTGCATACCTTGACTAGAAATGGCTTTCCATCATGGCTTCAGGCAGGGTTGATGTTCAGGTTTTCCCCATCCCAGAGATATCAGAATTTGAACCTGCAATCTTTTGCCTGCAGAATCTACCACTGAGCTACTCCGGGGGGGGGCATGCTCAGGATTGCAACACTCCATCTGCAGCTTCAAGTGGTACATTCCATGAACTATTCTTCCACTTGATAGTGCCGAACCCTTTTTTCCTTGACGTTCCTTCAGCTTTTTGATTTTTGCTTCCAGCCCTATCCTCAGGCCAACCCGCCTCCACCACCAACTCTCTCCCCGACACAGATGACACCTGGCATCGCCATCTTGGAACCCCGGCGCCCACCACACGATTACCTTCCCATCGCTGTCCTCACCACCATCTGCTGCTTCTGGCCCACAGGCATCATAGCTATCATCAAGGCCATACAGGTGAGTCGCATAGGCATGAATGCAGCAGGCGTACAACAGTTGGATCTCTGAATACAGCAGGTACATTCACAAGGACGGACATCCGGACTGTTTGCCTTTCAGGAACTGCACTGTGTAGGATAGCAGTGGGAATGTGTGGTTCTCTAGCGATCCTTGAAGCTACCTCTTTTCGTTCTTGATTGTTGGTCTTGCTGGACGGGTGATCAGAACTGGTCTCCAAACTGAAGAGCCAGAATTTTCCCATCTGTACGAGAAATATATCAAGGAATGGTAGCGGTCCTATGATTCTTGCAGATGTATTCTGTGTTCCATCTAATTTTTTTGGAGAGCTCATTTGAGGAGCATGGAATGTGGTGAGCCTAAGACCCCTCCCCCAAATAACTTCTAACCTTGTTTGTGGACAGAGATACAGTCTCTTCCATGTACCTCTTACGGTCAAATTGGCAATATGTGGTGCAGACTTAACACAAGAGTGTCATGTTTATGAGAATCCTAAGTAAGGTGTCCTGTGGTTCGCCTTCTCCTACCCTGCAGGCCCCAGATCGAGTGGTGACAGCAGTGGGCAGCCTTTTCAATTTCCTATAGCGCTGATTTCCTGCAGAGGAACATAGACTCAGAGACATGAGGGGGAGTGAAGATGCGTTGCGTTGCTAGGTAGAGCCACAGCTGGGGGCAAAGGGGGTCTGGTGCTGATGTTGGACGTGCCAAATGCCAAGTCTTACAGCAGAGGTAGGCAAAGGTTTGGGGCTCTGTTTTTATTTGTTAAAAAATTGGTTTCCAAAGCTCAGAGCTGCTGGGCATGGTGATATAGTATCACTGGAGATGGTAAAATGGAATATTCAGGGTGGGGTCTTTCTGCTTTTTTTCCTGGATGGAACTTATAACACTAGATTTTTTTGTTTGTTTTGGTGGCCCAATGCTGAGGGGCTCCAGGTGACAAAAAAAGAGGAATGGAAACAGATGTGACCCCTAATCAGCAGGTTTTTCACTGCTGCTTTATAGGATGTTCTGCATTACAGGTAGTAAATGACCACAATAGGGACTGGAAAATTTGTTGTTAAGTGGAGCAGTTGTTAAGCGAGTCGCACCCAATTTTATGACTTTTACAGTGGTCATTAAGCAAATCAGTGCAGCCATTAAGTGAATCACATGGTTCCCCATTGATTCTGCTTGCCGGAAGCTGGCTGGGAAGGTTGCAAATGGCAGTCACATGATCCCGGGATGCTGCAACCATCCTAAGGGTGTGCTGGTTGCCAAGCACCTGAATTGTGATTACATGACCGTGGGGGTGCTGCAATGGTTGTAAGTGCGAGGACTGGTTGTAAGTCCCTTTGTTCAGCACCATTGTAACTTCGAATGGTCTCTAAACTAATGGTCGTTAAGTGAGGACTACCTGTACAAGTACCTGGACTGAAAGTTCAGTTTAAGCCTTTGGTCCCATAGATGCTTGTGACGATGGTGTTGTGAGTAGGACTACCGCCTAAATAATACTGTACTGCCAAAGCACTGAAATCTAAGCATCTTTGTTGTCAAGCATCTTTAAAGTACCAAAGTGATCCAGGAAATCTTCCTGGAGTAGGAAGCCCCCTCTCCAGACCTAGAAACGTCACAAGATGGAAGGAATCTACAGCAGAGAAAAGGAAACGGATTGAACATATGCCGAGTGCGCTCCCTCTTCACGTCTGGCTGGCATTCCTCACCTCCCACACATGTACACATTTTGTAGAGTCAGTGGCTTTGTTCTGAAAATAATCCAGGGTTTTGAGCAGACAGGCAACCATTTTGTCACCCTAGAAGGCTGGGATGTGCCTGCCTCCATCTGAGGTGTTGAGTTCACCTCTGTTTGTTTGCCCCAAGGATGAATAACACGTCAAACTGGTGCTTGGCAGCCGCTGAGAACTCTAACTCAGAGCAGGTGGAGAAGCCATGTGGAAAGATGGTCATGCTAAGAAAATACACTTGAATGTCAGATGATCGCAGTGGTGGGAAAGAAAAATGATTTCAAAGGGCATAGTCACACTACAGACTGGTTTAGCCTGCCCTCTTAAACATGTCTAATAGATGACTGAACACCACAAACTTGGTTCTCATAACAGGTGCATAGAACTGAGGCCCCAACAGAAAGTTCAGGGGTACTAATAGGACTACAGACACTTCCATACCCCTCTGATGTTTTAACATATTTATTTCTTTAAATGTGCACTGTTATTTCTAATTTTAAAAAATAAATAGGAAGCTGGCGTGCTGTGCAAAGCACCCATTGCCAACGGTTTTATTTCAAAGAACGCCTGCAAGCTTTCTTAGAAAATAAAAATGTTGCGAGGGTGGAATCCAGTGTGGTGTTTGGATGAGTCTCCCCCCCCGCCAAAAAAAGGATGGGGTAGTTGTGAATATTATTCTTTGGGAATGACAGGCGTGAGAGGGTATTAAGAAGCACTGAAACCATGTTTTGTTTTCTCAGGGGGCAGGCTGCCCTTTTGAAGAATGCTCAGAAGACGTTCATAACATACCAAATATGCCACCAAAGATGGGGAATCCTGGTTATAGCCTCGTTCAAAAAAATATTAACTTTTTCCTGAAGTATTTTGGGGAGTTGTAATTCTACTCTGTTGTTTCTTCCTTCTTGTCAACATTCTCATTCTTCTTTTCATGTCTTTAAAAGGGGTCAGGCCAGTTCTAGAAGACCATTTGTGGTTCTGAGCCATGATGGTGGTAACTTACCACCAAAACTGGACGTTCTGGGGAAGACCCCTAGCCAGGGAGTAAGATGGAGCTACTGCACCCATCTTCTGCTTATGGAGTCCTCATAGGGGTTAGCCTGGGTAATATGGGAACAAATACAACGGAGCCCTTATGTTATTATTACCATGAATTAAGTTGAACTGAATTGGGATTTAGTTCACCAGCTTTATTGCCCTTCTGGGGGCTGAACTCCTAATCTATCTGGAGAGCAGCAGGTAATAGATACTTCATTGGTTTTAGGTTTTCTGGAATCACAGACCAGAGTACCGGCTTTAGGAAACGGGATCAAAACAGCCGGTGTGGGGAAGTGAAGGAGTTGGACAAAGATTGAAAGACCCAGTTTCTAGTCCCTCCACAGCCATGGATGCTCCAGGGGGACTTTCCGCCAATCCTTCTCCCCCAGCTCCACAGTTGGGTAGTGATGAAGGTGCTGGATTAGAAGTGGGGAGAGGCAGGTTCTATATCCCCACCACAATCAAAGTTCCCTGGGGGACTTTGGCCCAGTCCCTCCTCAGCACCACTGATGAAGGTGCTGGAGCTGAAGTACGGAAACCCAGGTTCTGGTTCCTCTCTTTGCTGGACATACTTTACAACAGTTTCTCAATGTGAGCAGCTTGAAGATGTGTGGACTTCAACTCCCAGAATTCCCCAGCCAGCATGGCTGGCTGGG